GGGTGGACAGATGTTGCTGGGTTTAAGGGCTGCGACTCCTGAAGCCGGAGCAGGTGGAGTCGCTGCTATGTCAACAAAGGCTCTCGGACATTTTGCCAACGGACACTTCGCCCACGGACATTTCATCGAAAAACATTTGACTGAACGAACATTTCACCAAATGGACATATGGTCGAACTGGCATTCACCACCTTAACCTAACCTAACCTATTATCCGGATTTTCGCGGTAACGTTCTTGCAGATTCGCATTCGGGCTCATGACACTTCGTTCACACAATTTCTTAAGATGAAGATATGTTCGGACTTTTAACCCGGGTAAGGGTTAGCCACCTAGGATAACCCGAGAAGTCAGTATGTTATCGAGGACTATCTGTCTTATTTGATTATTATTATTATTATAATCAAGGGGGAAGCGCTAAACCCGTAAGATTATACAGCTGTCTTATTTGAACTGGGGTCCTTCAATCTTGTGCTCCCCAGGATGCCACCCACACCCCTCTACTAAATCAGGTCTACTTAAAGTTTAAATTGTGAAATTTTGCTTTTTTTTCACTTTTATTGATTAGAAAATTTCTGTATTTTAATAAGTTTAATATTTTGTATCTTTCATCCCCTTTAAATAACACCTTCGCCACTACTGATATTAAACAAGAGACAATAATGCTTTACCAAAAAAACCCATGTCATTATTGATGTAAAGTCTTGTGAATAACAGTAACCGTCATGCACCCCTCACCTGGTACGATGCATTAATTCCTTTTTTTACTCTGGCTCCTGTGGGAATCATTCGATTTTTCATCTCCTTCCGACAACATGTCTTAAATTTTGTACCGGTGTGCCATCGAACAATGGTCGTCATGTGTTATTTTTTTTTTTAATATATCAAAAACTTTTTGGGTCAGTTTATGTTCATTATAAAAAGGTTTTTTGACATGTTTAGTTTTTTCCCCTGCCTAATTTTTCATCACACACACACACACAACACACACACAAAAAAAAAAAACCCCAACAAAACCACAAACACACCCCACAACCCCAATTTTCTGAAAAGAAAGTTTTTGAAAAATAGGGGAGGGCCGAAGAGCAAAAGTTTAAACATTGGCAAAAATGCCCCCCAAAAAAAAACTTTTTAAACCGAGCATGTTCCAAGCCCCCTGATATCTGCTATCCCCAAACCCAGAAAGTTTTTGGGAACCTTGCCGTAAACTTTGTCAGGCCCATTCGGATATGCCATTTTTGGCCCGCCTTAAAAAAAAAAACCTAGGCGGGGATTCAAAGAGACCGGGACAGACTGGACACCGGTCCAAAAAGGGTTCTCGAATTTAACCCTGCCAAAGCAAAGTCAGAAGATAGGGAAGGGCACAAAGCCCGCAGAAGAGTTAGGCTAGGTGGAAAAGATAAAAACCTCACTAAGGAGAAAGATCTTGGGGTGATATAACACCGGCATGTCCCCGGGAAGCACCATCAATCAGATAACCTGCAGTTTAGGGGCCCCGGAAACCTGAGAACAGCTTCCGTACCTTAGAAGGGAATCTTCAAAACTGTACACCGTGTATGTGGGCCTTTTGGGATGCGCACCTGTTGGACCCGCACTTGAAAAAAGCACTCAAGAAACTAGAAAAGTCAAAGGTTTGCAACAAGGTTAGTTCCAGGTAAGGGGAAGTCTATGAGAAAGATTAAGGGAAATCGCGACCACATGGGGACAGGAGGGTCAGGGGAGACATGATAACGACATATAAAATCTGGGGGGAAAAGAAAAGGTGGACAAGGACAGGTGTTCCAGGGGGGGGAACAGAAAAAGAGCCACAATTGGAAGTTGAAGACAAAAATGGTCAGAGAGATGTAGGAAGTATTTTTCATTTAATTTGTAAGGAGGGGAATAGCTAAAAAATGACGTAGTGGGGGCGGGAAACCCATAAACATTTTTAAGACGAGGTTTATAAAGTCAGGAGGGGGAGAGAGGGGGCCCTAGTAGAAAACCGGGTGAAGAGGGGGGCCCGGGAGCTGGGAAAACGCCCCCTCAACCACAAATAGGTGATACAAATAGGTGAGTAACACCAACCACCACAACACACGCGCGCGCGCCACTTTCTGAGAAGAACGTTTTTAGAAGCTTTTTTTGGGAAGACGTTTGTTTAAAGGCTTTTTTAAAGTTTTTCAACTGCAAATATTGTCCCCAAAAAAATATTTTATTTAAACGTGAGCCCCCATCTTTTACTAACTTTATTTCAAAACCCCCACAAATTTTTTACCTTTTTTAAAACTTTCTCTGGATTACAATATCTTAAATTTGGGGCTCTTAAAAAAAACAAAAATTATTTCTTCATTAAACAATCCCCCTTTTTCTTTTTCTTTTTATAAAAAAAAAAAACAATAAATTTAATAAAAATAATTTTACCCTCATAAAATTTTTTTTCCACTCTTTTTCTTTTTTTAAAACACTTTTTAACCCCAATACATAAACCCCCTTTCCTAAATTTTGGGGGGGTAACAAAATGGTGAGTGTCTGGGAGTTCGTAAATAAGATGCTCAAATGCTGAGGGAAAAGTGAGATGACGGGGGGGGAGTGAGGAATCTTTTTTAAAGGGATTTTCCCTAAAAATGAGTGAAAAACCACTAAAAACCCTCCCTTTTCCATGATGCTCCCCATATTTTTATAAAAAGATTCTGCCCAAAAATTTTTTTGATGAAAAATTTAACTCAGCTTTAAATTGTATTAGGTGCTTTTTAGAGATAAACACTTTTCAAAAGCAGTTAAAAAAAATAAGGGAAAGCATGGATTTAGCTTGTTTAAAGAAGGGGGGGGGAAATTTTTGATCAGCAAGACGTCCGTAGGGAAAAAAAAGCTGATTTTACGGTCCGGGAAATTAAAGGGCCTCTTAGCAATTGGGATTGGGAAAAAATTCTAAACCCTGGTCCGGGTCGAATCCCCGGTGGGGTTTAGAAATTAGGAATTTTCACGCCCCTGCCCCCTTTCCCCCACAGTTGGGCCTGGGATTCTATTGTGGGTCACCACAAAATTAAACTATTTGCCCTAAATCCTAAAACAGCGGCTTTTTCGTATATGTTGCATTATACAGACCTTTTTAACCGGTATATGTACTTGTAAATAAAAAATTCTTAAATTAGTTTCCCCAACCTAAGACAGCTTCCCCTTTTTTACATTTTTTTTTGGGTCTTTTAACGGTAATAAAATAAATTTATGGCCAAAAACGAAATGGCAGGTTCCCTGTTTAAAGGGTTCCCCATAATCCCTCATTTACCAGGCCAAAAGATGAAAGCTTTGTAAAAACCGTGTTCCTGTCAGGCCATAGCAGCATGGAGTTCACCAAAGGGAATGTTATTGAGGTCAAGATGCAACCCCGGGTGTTGCATCGTGTGATGACCATCACGCACAACATTCATCACACTCGGCCCTTCTAAACAACGAAACGTAGTAATACTGTTTGATTTTCTTTACAGTAGACGAAGCAAATATTGATTCACTTATCTTGATAAAAAACAAGGCATGAAGCTCTGTGGGGGAATTACCGATAAAATGTTAGGTAAATGGACACAGATGCAACTAATGTGACATTTTATTGTGGCAATGTTTCGCTCTCCAATGGATTTTTAAAGCCGTTCCCAAAGTTCATGAGAGCAAAACTTTTACCACAATATGTTCTTTGTTGAAATCTGTTCTATTTACCTAACATAAGCTTTATCTCTATTTAAACTACCTTACTGTGATAATTACTGTGATAGAAGACAAGTTAATATTTATATCATTACGAACTGAATTTTAAAAAATATTCTCTTAACTCTAAATAGTGGGCATAAAATTTTTGATGACACAGAATGAATTTAATCCTAAAAAAAAAATATTTTGGAAATTTTGGACGGAATGATCTCACATTATTAATTTAGGGTTGATGCACATCTGAAGAAAGAATCATTGCAGGTGCAAAGATTTGTCCTAAATTGGGAAGAACTATGACAAATAAAAAGCGTAGTAACGTAATTCATTGCACATTAAAAAACTGCGATTAAGTGTAGACAAAATACTGAAGAGTGTGGGAGTGTTTTTTAAGGAATGGGAGGTTGATAGGAAATTTGTTGCGGGATGTGGAAATCTTAATTAAATAGCGTGGATGTTTTCCCTCTCATAGGTGGTCAGCGCGCGGCGGGTGAATGATAGCGTTGCCCGGGGGTTTGGCCACGGGCAGCAAAAAGCGTGGGCACAGCAAACTTTTTGTGGGCAAAATCAGGTACGTGGATTGACGTTGATCCCAGCCCCTGTAGGAACAACTTGGTGAGGTAGGAAGAAGGGTGGAGGTGGTGGAGGAATAAAAAAAAATTTAAAAAGGATAGGGAAAGAGAGGGGCGAAGAAACCTAAAAATTTCTGGGACTTAGAATTTTTTTTGTGGCGGGGGTTTGCGGGAGGGTTCGGTTGTGGAGTACTGACCTCTTATTTTGATTTCCATCGGTTTAAATATCAAAAAAATTAAATGCATGTAGTTGGAACGATAATTAGATAGGGCATTAGCGGGACGAATTAAATATAATAAATTAAAAAATTTATATTATATATATATTATATATTTTAATATATATATATATTATAAAAAAAATATAATTATATTATATTTATATTTTATATATATATATATATATATAAAAAAAATTTATTTTATATATATTTAATTTTTAAAATTTAATATTTATATATATTCACGGATTTTACGCTACTTTTCCATACACAAGAAAAAGGGAAATAACCATAGGGCTTTTTGGGGTTATCCGGGGTTACTATCCCTCCCGGGGTTAAAAATCCGAAAAATAATTTTTTTTTACCATAAATATATACACGAAACAAAAATAATCTCACTCCTCTTTACAATACAACATACACACAGCGTTTCGTCGCCAAAAGAATTTAAAGTTTTTTTTTAAAAAAACACTTATATCATTTTGTTTACCCCCCTAAATAAAAAAATTATACTACTTTTATCTGCTAACAATAATAATAATATGGAAAGGAAGAGCTCCCAGTCCTTTATAAAGGGCAGGAGGACGGAAGCCGTGGCAGTGTTGGAAGCTACCTCGGTCAACATGGCTGTCATGAGGCACACCACGAATACAATGAGTTGCTTGGGCATGGCGGAAAAGTGCTGCAGCTGCTGACCGATGAAGACGGAGAGGCCAGAGACCTTGGGAGCCTCGGCCATGGCCAGGCCTCCCCCCAGCAGCATGATGACCCCCCAGGGCACCTTCTGGTGCACCACCTCCCACGTCAGGCAACCCTTGACTCGCTGCCGCCTGCTACCCTTCCTCTCATCTAATATTAAATAATAATGAGGATTTAGTTTACAACTGCTTCTAGACATACCTCGTACGTTTTTTACAATCTACAACACATACAACACACGTATATGAGGTGGCTGGTGAAGTAAATACTCTTAACAGATCCTGGGAGAGGGCTGTGGTGTTTTATATATATCAGGATCCAGTCACTAGATCTCGACGTTTATTACAGGAACAGTTTCGTTTTATTACCAAAAATTACATTTAAATAAGAGGTTCTAGTATAAGGTAATCGCGTGAAACAATTTATATTTAGACAAATAACGAAATAATTTTTCAATTTCACATTTATGAATTTATAGTGGACGGAGGATCAAGCCTCCATCACTTCTTTCCCTGAATAACCCACATGGGTTAAGCACTTCACATGAACATATCAACTTCCCCGAGAGCTAGAGCTCGCCTGCCTATAATCTTAAATCCTCACGATAACATTTCCTTCCTGCAAGCAGTGTTATCATCCCAAGAGACTCGATAAAGATGTAAGCAACACTCACCACCAGACTCAACTTCGCTGCAACACTCAGTCTTGGCCGGGATGCAGAAGAGCAGAAACACCATGAGCATGACCGGTGTTGCATCGTGTATCACCCTGTGGGCACCACAGATGCAATAAGAAATACAGACAAGTGAGGCGCCGTGGAAAAACAGACTGACGAACAAGGACCCAAATAATATCTTATTTTAACAAGTAAATGTACAAATTTAAAAACTATAGTGACATAATGACATACTATATATAGAAAGCCGCTTGTTATTCTGAGCATTTCGGGCAAATTAAGTCAGTTTTGTCCCAGGATGCGACCCGCACCAGTCCGCTAACACCCAGGTACCCTTTTATGATGGTGAACATTGACAAAAGGGGTAAAGAAACACGCCCCAATTTTTCCCCCCCTGGGGAAACGAACCCCGCCTCGCCCTGTGAAGCGAGAAATTTAGCCATAGGCAACGGCCACCAGGTTTATTTGATTGGGGGGGGGGGGGTTTTCGTAAGTAATACATAGAGTAAAACTGTTGAAAAATTTGTTTAATTTCGTGTGTATAAACCCCCCACAGGATGGGGATGGGGTGCATAATAAATATTAAACAACTAACTAAATACCTGTAACTATGAAATTGGCGTGAGTTTTTTAAAAACGTTTTTTATAAAAAAAAAGTTTTCAAACTTAAAAAAGAGACCAAAATTGATCAAAATAGTAAGTTGATTACAAAAATGTTATTGAAAAACATGATGCAGGCAATTGCAGGTGAATTTAAAAAGTAAATTTGGCAAATTCTTTTTTTTTTGTTTGTTTGTTTTCAAGCCTGTAAATTTCACAAAAATGAATTGGGTGGTTAGTTTTTTTTCTCTCACCCCCTTGTGTTCTGTCAGTAAAGTACAACAAGAGGTACGAAGGCGCTTACTGACGCTAATACAAACGGCAAGTACGGCAAAGTCAGGTCAACTTGTATTTTCACGCAATAAAAACTTGTCCTGCAACCTGCGCCTTTTTCTTAAAAAACTGACAAAAACACACCCCAAAATGTTTTATGAGCGGAAAACCAAAACCCACCCTTTAAACCCCCAGGCCAGAACTGGGCCCCCCCACTCGTTTGGTGACCGCCCGGGCGGGACGAAAAAACCATCTTCCTTGGGTTCGCCCCCGGGACCCCCTTTAATTACAAACACGAAAACGAGAAATTGAAAATTAAAACCCCTCGTTTTGTTTTAAAAAACCCTTCGGAAAGGGAAATTAAAAAATTAAAAAAAAGGGAAACTTTCATTTTTTCTGGGGACTCAAAAAATTTACGTTTTTTGAAAATGGAAAAAAGAAAAAAAGGATCAAAAAACAATAAAACTTTTAAAAAAATCCCCAAAAAAAATTTTTTTTTTCTGAAAAGGTGGAAACCGCTGGAAATTGGAAAATAAAATACAATTTTTTTTTGGGGGGAATGGAAAAATTTTAAAAAAATTTTAAAATGCACAACAATGGTAAAAAAAAAATTTAAAAAAATAAAAACTTACCCGGGAAAACCCTCCTTAAAAAATAAATTTTTGGGTCGGGGGTTTTTTGAGGAATATGGAAATTTAAAAAAAAAGAGTACCTGGAGAGAGCCAAAGATACCACAAATTCCCCCCCTTAAAAAAGTAGAAAGTTAGGCTTTTTTCCCGAAGGGTGAGAAAGGGCAGTTAATTGAGGAAAAAAAAATGACCAAAGGGTTAACCAATTTTTCTTCTTCTTTTCTTTTTCTTCTCTCAAAAAATTAAAAAAAAATTTTAAAATTAAAAAAAAATAAAATTTTTTTTTTTTTTTTTTTTTTTTTTCAACAAGTCGGTCGTCTCCCACCGAGGCATATATATATATATATATACATATATATATATATATATATATATATATATATATATATATATATATATATATATATATATATATATATATATATATATGCAAAACAACCACTCTGAAAGAATAGAGAAATTCCAAGCGCTTTCGTGACTACTCACATTATCAAGGAACTATGAAAGTAAAGCATCCCAAATTCTATTAATTATAAATGGATCTAATTTATATAAACCAAAGGAAATATTCATATTATTGTCAAAACTGCTTTTTATGAAACAAGATTCAATTATATTCCTGTCGACCATGGACTTGCTTGATACTACTTTCTCAACTTTTTGAAAATCAATTGGATGGTTAAAATCTCTTACAAGAATAAATAGAGCATTGGACTCTTGTCCAGTTCTAATGCTATATTTATGTTGTTTTAATCTTAGTTCGAGATTTTTACCAGTTTGACCGTAATAAACTTTTTCGGGGGAATTCTTTATCAAAAGTATTTTTACTGTATCAAGATTTTTAAATACAACTTTAATATTAAAAGTCTTAAGAAGAGAAGGCATATCAACCAAGTTTTCATGGTAAGGGAGAACCAACATATTTTTAGTTGAATAAGGCTGGTTGTCCCTTTTTGGATTGTAAAAAGTATTTCTAGCAACTTTAAAAGATTTATCAATTACATTTCTTGGGTATTTTAAATCATTACCTATTTCATAAATTTTGGATATTTCCTCATCTATGAACTCAGGACTACAAATTCGCAAAGCTCTCAAAAACATTGATGAGAAAACAGACAGTTTGAGATGTGTTGATGATATTTTGTGTCTTATGCCCAAAAATGTAGATATACACCATTTCCTTGGAAAATTAAATAGCTTAGCCCGTTCCATAAACTTTACTGTTGAGTTTGAAGAAAATAACTCATTGCCTTTTCTAGATGTTTTAATTATTAAGGGTAATAATGAATTCAAATTTAAAATTTACAGAAAACCTACAAATAACTGTTCCTATGTCCACTATTATTTTTCGCATCAAGATAGAGTCAAACTGTCTGTTTTCTCATCAATGTTTTTAAGAGCTTTACGAATTTGTAGTCCTGAGTTCATAGATGAGAAAATATCCAAAATTTATGAAATAGGTAATGATTTAAAATACCCAAGAAATGTAATTGATAAATCTTTTAAAGTTGCTAGAAATACTTTTTACAATCCAAAAAGTGACAACCAGCCTTATTCAACTAAAAATATGTTGGTTCTCCCTTACCATGAAAACTTGGTTGATATGCCTTCTCTTCTTAAGACTTTTAATATTAAAGTTGTATTCAAAAATCTTGATACAGTAAAAAAACTTTTGATAAAGAATTTTCCCCCCAAATGCTGATGGATGTGTCTATAAGATTCCTTGTAAAATTTGCGATAAAGTTTATTACGGTCAAACTGGTAAAAATCTCGAACTAAGATTAAAACAACATAAATATAGCATTAGAACTGGACAAGAGTCCAATGCTCTATTTATTCTTGTAAGAGATTTTAACCATCCAATTGATTTTCAAAAAGTTGAGAAAGTAGTATCAAGCAAGTCCATGGTCGACAGGAATATAATTGAATCTTGTTTCATAAAAAGCAGTTTTGACAATAATATGAATATTTCCTTTGGTTTATATAAATTAGATCCATTTATAATTAATAGAATTTGGGAAGAATTTAATAATACACTGAACAAATAATAATTTTAAAAATTTTCTTGGGTAGAATAGTTTGTTGGTGGTTGTGCAAAGGACCTGTCCAGTTGGGCCGGCGCGCGTCAGGTGTTTAACCGTTGTGGGATCTGATAGTGAGGTGTTGGCCAGACCCCCTTATATACCTTCCTTGGATGCTTTACTTTCATAGTTCCTTGATAATGTGAGTAGTCACGAAAGTGCTTGGAATTTCTCTATTCTTTCAGAGTGGTTGTTTTGCATATTCTGAAATCACCTGTTTACTGTGATCTTATTGTATATATATATATATATTATATATATATATATATTATATATATATATATATATATATATATATATATAATATATATATATATATATATATATACAGTATATATATATATATATATATATATATATATATATATATATATATATATATATATATATATATATATATATATATATATATAAACTTTTGGTTATTCAATACTTAAGGCATATTCCGTTTCTAATATCATATAATAAATTTACTCTATCTCCGACAGCTTACTACTGTGTTGACCGTTCCTTCTCAAATTGCATAAATTATAATCACAACGTAAGTAAAGCTTCAAAATCCATTTCTTACATTCTACAATTCATGTCTACAAAATACTACATGTCATCGGCCAGAAAAATGAGCAAATTTAGACGAAAGGGGGAATATCCTCATCATTTATGCCGAAAGGGATGATGGGTTCTTGAGTAAGCATCCTGTGGGAAGTGTGGCACCCGTACCCTAGGCGCAAACCACAAACCCAGCCACCGTGTCAAAGTGACGCAGCGTCTCTTTGTGTGTGTATTTGGAATATAAAGATGATGGTAAATATTCCTAAAATATCTGTGTATCTGCCTTTACCTCTGCAGGATGCCCATCATGACTAGGTTGGGGCCACAGCCGAGCGGAGAACCGGTACCACCAATGTTGGCAGCGAATGCCACAGCCAGGAAGAACATCTTCCTCACACACTGGGACTCCTTGTAGTCATCGTCATCACTGTCTTCAGGAAGCGAGAACTCTGCTGCCTTTCCTGTCTTCTCCTTGCGATCCAGCTGAGGAGTGCCATCATCTCTGGACCGAGGTAAAGCCACGTGAAAAAGAAATGAAAGAGACATGAACAAGAAAAAAACACATAAAAAAAGGAAATAAAGCAGACATGCAAAAAAAAAAGTGAAATGACATGCAAATGTAACAAGTTATTATAATCAAAAAGAAGCGCTGAACCACAAGGGCTATACAGCGCTGTGCAAATGTAACAAAAAACATGGAGTAACAATAAAGCATATAGAAATATTTGCTAAATATAATATAATATCTTTATTTACTACAAGTACATGTACAAGGTATACAGTCCAAGCTGACATCAATAACATACTACTATATAGAAAGTCGCTCGTTATGCAGAGCATTTCGTGCAAATTAGGTCAGTTTTGTCCCAGGATGCGACCCACACCAGTCGACTAAAATCCAGGTACCCATTTTACTGATGGGTGAGCATAGACAACTGGTGTAAGGAAACACGTCCAATGTTTCCACCCCTTCGCCGGGAATCGAACCCGGACCCTCGCCGAGTGAAGCGAGAGCTTTTGCCACCAGGCCACGGGGCACCTTAAAGCAAAAAAAAAAAAAAGTTGGCATGAGTTAACTCTGCTTAGTTTAGTATCTTTATTATGTACCCCATACCCATCCCGTGGGCGGTAGCCAAAAGATTACAGAGGTACATAATGGGTCTAGGAAGACAGGTTAAAAACTCATATCGTAAAAAAAAAAAAAAAAAAATTGAAAAAGATTAGTTAACTATAAAAAAAACTCACGAATCATAAAAGAAAACGAACCAACCATAAGAGAAAACTGATATATGTTACGGAGATACTAACTAAAGTATAAGGGGAGACTCACTTAAGTATGATGTCGGAGAATGTAGCGTCGGAGTCGCAGAGTTTTAGACAGCTCTGTCTGGGTAACGACACAGTGACCTCCTGGAGGACTGGTGCCACACCATCCTGCCTACGACGAGCCTCTATCATCTTAATCTGTGAGAGGAGACGGCAATGTGTAAACATAAATAACATTAATTTTAAAAGCATTGAAGAACCTTGATGAACGAAAAGTAAGTTTATCTAGATAGATATATTTAAAAACCAAATTATCACAATCGTCTTACACAATAACATACATGTAAATTTCCTGGGATAACCCAAATAAAAAAAATAATAAAGTGACTTATTTCCGTTTGGAGTCAAGATATATACACAGAGAAGAGCAGTTCTTTCAGTATATATATTCTGAGAGTTTACTTTTATCCCTATTTAAGGGCTTCATATATTCTTGTTTAAGGTTACACAGAGCCTCAATGACCCTAGTGTAGTCGATAATTGTTCTAGCTACGGTACTGTGACTTTTTTTTTATTATTCTCCAAATTGCTATAATATCAACAGAATCTTTTCCGTCGCTGGCTATCTCAGACAGATATCGCCTGTGTCATATAACCACATCTCTCATTACAGGATATATACAGAGAGAGGTGTATATCTCTCAGTGTATATGTGCTGAGATTAAAGTATTCTTGTCTGGTTGTAAGCAGGTGGCACACAGCGTGTAGTCGAGGATCAGTCACAGAAACCAATACCTCAATTTTGTTCAATAAAATTGGCAAATGGACACTTAGGTATCTCAAAACTAATAAAAACCTTCTACTAAATAATATACATCAGTGTTGAGGGTTTGAAGCCGGTCAGAAGAGGCATTCTCCATGGTAAGCAATAATTCATACATTTAATCATTATATAAAAAATAGCTTATTTGCTGCTACAGAGCCTGAAGCTGTAATAAAATTTTACTTCAGTCAGATACATCAGTGCTGTAGGTTTGAAGCCGTTTGGAAAAAGCGTTTTCAAGTTATCGCACGGAAAATAACTGTTAATATTAGAAATAATATTGGCATATTATCAGCTTTATAACTTTACCTAATTCAAAGAACGTTTTTGTTGGATCATCAGTTGGGCCTCGACTGTCTGACTCTGGAAGGACAAGTTGGGCCTCGACTGTCTGACTCTGGAAGGACAAGTTGGGCCTCGACTGTCTGACTCTGGAAGGACAAGTTGGGCCTCGACTGTCTCACTCTGGAAGGACAAGTTGGGCCTCGACTGTCTCACTCTGGAAGGACAAGTTGGGCCTCGACTGTCTGACTCTGGAAGGACAAGTTGGGCCTTGACTGTCTCACTCTGGAAGGACATGTTGGGCCTCGACTGTCTCACTCTGGAAGGACAAGTTGGGCCTCGACTGTCTCACTCTGGAAGGACAAGTTGGGCCTTGACTGTCTGACTCTGGAAGGACAAGTTGGGCCTTGACTGTCTGACTCTGGAAGGACAAGTTGGGCCTTGACTGTCTCACTCTGGAAGGACAAGTTGGGCCTTGACTGTCTGACTCTGGAAGGACAAGTTGGGCCTTGACTGTCTCACTCTGGAAGGACAAGTTGGGCCTTGACTGTCTGACTCTGGAAGGACAAGTTGGCCCTCGACTGTCTGACTCTAGAAGGACAAGTTGGGCCTCGACTGACTCACTCTGGAGGGACAAGTTGGAAGATCTGTGTTCTCAGTGTTCCTTCCTTTTGATCCAGGGAGCCGGAGTTGCTCTCACACCTCCCGTCAAGAAGACTGTGTGCTTCTT